ATGAAACAGTGAACGCGTTAGTTTAAGTATACAAATTTTGATTTGACACTAATTTTTGTTCTCTGGGACTTCAATTTTCAACGCGCAAGAAACTTTGCTTAACGCGACACTTTTAAAATCTTGCGTGTCAAGCAAATTTACTAAATCGCTTTAGAGATACAAAAGTATATCGCAGGATATTTCAGAGACTCGTTTCTTTAAACGGATGACGGATCAACACCCCAATTGCGAGCTATATCCTGCCCGTCTTCTCGGCTCAACTCCTCCTCGGAACACGCACAAGGAGAAAATATCACGTCAGGATTACGTCTTAAAAACGTCAGATGCACGGTGCTTACTCGAGAAGAAGCCGTAGACGCGTTTCGTGCCAGACTGGCTCGAGGGACGGATATGAATTTCTGGGAAGGTTTGCTTAAGCAAATTGCGAAATGTAGTCTGCTAACGAATGGGAAGAGAGAAAAAGAGAGAGAGCGAGAGAGATGGAACGGGATGGCAAGTTCCGGAATATTGTACGCCTCGCAGATATTCGGACCGCACCCTCCCCTGCCTACGCGACCGGGAAACCTTCACCGGCGACGAGAGAAAAACGAATTTTGGCGGAAACGTCGGCCACGAATGAAATATTGTCGCTTGGACCGAATGGAATGTTTGTCCGAAATCGTGATTAGCTTCTTGATGATTTCGAAATATTTGTTGAATCTCGAAAAATTGAGAAAAGTCTAGGATGTATTAAAACGTGCACTAATAAATGAAACAAAAGGAAAATATTTCTAAAAACGACTTCTCATTTCTTCAAATGATATTCAAAATCGGAATTTTGCTTAATTCCCTATTTCCCGGTGATCTATTTCTGCGCGATTCGCAAAACTTTTATCATAAATTTGACGGAAATACATTTACTTCTCAATAAAATCTTCGATAAATCATGACGAAAATTGTACTCGTGCACGCAATTTCTCTCTTTCTCTCTGAAAACCAAACAAACGCTAATAAATTGCAACCGAATACGAAATCCCTTGCCAATAATGTTATTCCCGTAAACGAATAGTCAGTTACGCGGAACGATTGTTGCAGTCAACGGATTACGAAGCAAAACACGGTTTCACCGGGGTATAATTTTCTAAATGTACTCTACTAACTCGCTAAAATGATACTCGGCGTTTGATATTTTCCGATCCCGATGAATTATAAACGGGATACGGTCGCGGTAACGAACGTCGAGAAATAAATACACAATAATCGGCGTAAATCTGTCCTCGCGTAACCATGGTGGGATATATATAGGGTGTTTCTAAAAATTCGCGATAAATATTTTAATGATAAATTCTTTGTAACATTTTAAGATGAAAAGTCTAATACGAAAATGTCGAAGCTATAATAGTTTTCAAATGGGAAAAATTTTTAAATCATAGAGCTAGAATTTCGCGCGCTCAGGGATGACAAAATGGCTAATGATAAAGGTGCTTCCACGAATCGAATACTTTTGACTGGTGAAATTATTGTGAAAATATTCAAGAATTCCATAGCCTCTCCTTTGTTATATAGCCTCGACATTTTCGTATTAGACTTTTCTTAAAATGTTACAAAGAATTTGTTATTAAAATATTTGTCGCAAATTTAGGAGCACCCTGTATAAATATATATGCACACGATGTTAAAAAAGTCTGGACACGGTCGAATATCTCGATAAGGAAGAGTTTTACTAGAAAGTATATATATACCGTATATATATATATGTATAGTATAACGGCTGACTATCATAAATGCGCAACCTTTTGCTCTTTGAGTGCTTGGTCGTCAATGCGATCATCAATATGCAACTCGCTCACTGGAAACGCTCGCTGCTCGCGCGAGATTACGTTATACTTTTGATTATGACGCCGACAAGCCATTCTCGAAATGGAAAGCAATTGATTCGGCAAATATATCTACGATAATCCAATTGCGCTCTCGCATAAATCAAATTATCGGCGAGTTAAAAGTATCAACTATAATCGAATTGCATAAAGATATTCTGCGAGCTAAAAAAATTATTTGAAAAAAATATACAAGGTTGCAATTATGTCGGAGCTCATAAAGAAATATATATGTACGTCGAGGGTTATTTAAAATTTAAAGGGTATAATTGGATTATTTGCGCACCCGCGTGCTGAAATTAGCACGTGCTCTGCAAAGGAGAGCTTCATTTTGCTCGCATTAATAAATGCTCGGATGGATGAGCAACTTTACACCAAGGTTCGCGGCGGAACGTCTCAAAGCAAGTTTTCGCCGTTCTAAGTAACTCCGTTCCGGAAGCACCGGCAACAACAACAAGGCATTATCGAAATTCCATACCCAATGATGACGACGACCATGGCATGGAATTAAGGCGAATTTAACGAGCATCCTTGACTGGCAATTAAGCGCGATTGGCCTTCGTAACCGACTAATCCGTCGGCGATGTCGGATCAGACCAAAGTAACGTTTGTAGGATTGTATGGAATTGTGCGTACAATTTTCAGCGCGGGTGCGATAACGTCAAATTCAATTTGCGACTCGTCGAAACGTCGTTAGCCGCTGTCGTCGTCGCTGCTGCTCATTTTGCAACGTAACTCGATTTGTCTTTCATCGTGTGTAACTGACGTATCGAGGTCGTAGATTCGAGCAAATTATCGCATGACGTATTAATTTTCGTTCGATTAGTCTTTCTCGATCGACGCAACGTGCGATTTTTCGAGCCCTGTCATCACATCCCAGTTGCAGAAACACCGACATCGTGCCAAATGTTTTGATTTTCGACGCGAAATTCGAGTCAAAATTGACAAGAGTCGAGTTAATACCGCTAATTCCCTCCAAACGAAATATTCAAATTAGCCGGAAATTTTTAAAAGTGCGTTTTAAAACTCTTGTTACACTACAAATATGGATAAATTTAAAGAGCGGAGGGAAAAGAGAGAGTGCGCGTGTTTATGCGTTGTGGAAGTAATACAAGTTGAGATGGAAATTTGCGACAGAGCAAGCTGCGATTCCGACTTTTTTTTCGAAAGAGAAACGAACGGAAATAAACTCGGCAAAAATTTAATGCAGTTTGTGTGTAAAAAATTAAAAACAACGATAGGTCGAGTCGGTAAAAATCATCATAACGGCCAAGAGTAAAACGAAAAAAAAAAAAAGCACAATGTTGTTTATTACCGCTACGCAAAAGTTGAGTCGCATTATCAGAAACATTTGTTCGTGACAAGTTGCGCGAGAGCCACGGAGGGATGTTTCGTATAAACGAGACAAACTAGATTTTTTTCGGCGCGTTCGCCAAATTACAGCGGCGCGTGTGCGATAAAAATTTCGACACCGCGAACCTCGTTCGTCACGCGAAGCCATAAATAATCGATGAACGAGATCACGAACAAAATGTGCTTCGATTCAGCACTTTTTCCCCTCCTCCCCTCTTTCCCAATTCTATTCTATTGGCTACGGAATAACGTCAATTTTTCGATACGCGAGGATGGCCGGTTAATTAAATTAGCACGGTGAGAGGTCGATACTGCATCCCCGTCGTTCACATATTCAACTGTGTAACAAGCATAAACATATCATCCAAATTCATTGCGTTCGTTTGTTTGTAAAATTTTTTTTATACACTACGGTTCAATGGAAATGAAGCTCAAAGCGAGAACATCATACAAAAATGGTAAATTCAATTTCACATTTCAACGATAAAATTAAATAATTAATTAACACGTAGTTCGAAATATTTAAGTTGAGTAAATCTTGAAAAATTATTAAAAATTATTAAATATAAAAATGTACGAGAACATTTTATCATTTTAATTTTATCACATACATTTTTATCCTAAATGTGTGTTTAATATTTTATAAAATATTAAACTTTTGTAAGTACAATTTTTTTTTTTCACTTTTCAAGCATAATTGTATAAGCTTGCAATTTTACAAATATGGATTTAATGAACGGCAAAAAAAAAATAAAATAATTATTCTCACGTCATATTTTTACGTCAAACGGATGTTTAACGATATTCTTGTAACGAAGCGAATCTCGTCAAGTAGCGAAATCAATGCTCCTTTGCATCTCGATTATAAACCGTCGCAAGTATACAATGTCGGAAATTACTGCCATGAACAGCTAAGCAGCGGAGAATGGCGGCCGGTTGCTCTGTAATTAGGCGAACACGAGAAGATTTGAATTGTAGACTGCGCATCCGCTTATCAAGTATGCCAGGGGCGGCATAAGCAAACGTGGCACTTATCGGAAACGGTGACTAATAGATTGTTAAAAAGTAATTTCGACGAAAAACGTGCCAATTTCATTCAACGCTACTTTCTAACAATTTAACGATCCCTATTTACAGAGCTGGCTGCCAGAAATTGATCGACGATTCCTACGAGATCTCTCGCATCTTTCGAAAAATACTAACTTTCAATTAATCAATCTCCATTATTTCATCGCGAAATTTTTAAAAGCAAAGTGTACGACATGGCGGTAAACGACTTTTTCATTACATGGCGCGTAAATGGAAGAGTTCTCTTATTACAATGGCCAACCATTAAATCAGTAAAGTTCACAGACTCTCGCGGGGGACGACGAAAGTTCCGCGGCTAATGATGCGGTACTTTTAAAACGATCGGACTTAACGCGGACCGTCTATGAAGTATTGGTATAAAATTTAGCCGCTCGTATATTCCGCGAAAACTTTCGCGAACATAAATACTACGCGCCAAGGGTACATGCTAAAGATAATCTTATGGGAAAAAAAGCTATCGAGAAAACTCGATCCTCGCTCCACCTTCCTTATTCCTAACTTCACTGATCATCTGAATGAGGATATTCAGATTCATTTTTCTCGAGTGCAAAAGAAGGAGACACTGCAAAATAATGAAACGTCTACACCGTGTGTGGAAAAATATATCTCATGGAAATCAGAAAAGAAAGAAAATGAAGGAAGAGCGAGGGACGCAGGAAAATTTTCCCCAGATGCAAAGAAAAAAAAGCAGAGCGGACTCACTTGAAAGTCAAACTTGCTAAACTCCTGCTGGGCGTCGATGTCTGCGTTTCGTGGGACGATTACGGGACAGGTGGCGAGCGACACTCGGGCGTCCGGTGACTCGCTATAATCCGGGGTAATGGAGGTCAGGCTGCTGCGGTCGTATCTGAGCTCCTCGTTTAGGATGGCGGCGGCGGCGGCGGCGGGATGACCCGACGACGACGACGACGACGACGATGACGGCGGAGCCTGGACCTGGCTGACGTAGTACAGGCACAACAGGAGCGACAGCACCACCACGCCGAGGACGAACACGCGGCCGGAGCCGCGACGTAGTATCTTGTACATAATTCAATTGACTCGATGCCACTCGCGTACTTTGTAAGCTCATAGATCACGGTGATTCATCTAGGGATGTAGCATCAGCAACGACGATCCACGATCGATCCTTGGCATCGTCTTTCGTCGGCTCCATGGATCGCAGAAGAATGGCCTTAAACAGAGAAAAGATTTTTTTTTAAGGATGCATTGTATGTACGATCCCAGCAAAAAGTAGCTGAAAATCAATATTGACGAATATATCTATTTTTGGGGTATTTCAAGTATGAGAAATGCGTGGAATATTAGAATTTGATCTTAGCTACAGTGGAGAGATGTATTTTTTAATATTTATTGCGTTTTTACGGAAATATTCCGAATTTTGTTAATCGAAATGATTAACTTTTGGCAGAGAATTTCGCCTTGTGACAGATACATGGCTAACTTTATTGAATTATATTTAATATCTTTTTAACCAGTTAGTACTTGTATAATATTATTTGACCAAATATTTTCTCTCTATCTAAACTTGTGCAAATTTTCAATAAATTCTGAATATTATTTCCATGTGTTTTTGTCATTTGAATCGACGTATACGTTTCCCATAAGAACACATGTTAATTCGATGCAAATTAAAATCCTTGTAACTTGTAAACGCTTTAGTGAATCGATTTAAAAATTGTACCGAAGGTTCTAAACATATGTAAGGACATTCTGTACAATTTTCATTAATTCTTAATACTTTGAAAATAGGTACAAAACATCCTTAAATAACATTTTTCCCGAATTTGCATGCAATTAAAATTTGAAATTTAAAATAACAAATGATTATCTTAATTTTGAATAAAATTTTGATATTAGTATATTTTGTGTTGAAATAATTTTGTGGATAAAATGTTGTTGCGTAAATGCAAATTTATAAGCTTGTAATGATAATGCATAGAGCTTCATGTTGAAACACGGGAGTGCAATGAATCGAAATCAAATTTTGAATAGTAGCCATGATCATTAATGATAATTAATTGCGATGCCGTGTACACCGCGCTCTTTATCGTTGACCGATCGAAATACGAATGTTTTAATCTCACCGAGATGAGAACATAAGAGAGATTTACATTGAATTAATTAATTTCATTGAATTCAATTATTCTGCCGGGAACATGGACGATAAAATATCTTTAGTAATCATACATAGGTTACTATAAAAGGGAATTAGACAGAAAGAGAGAAAGAGAGAGAGAGAGAGAGAAAGAGGACAGTGATTTTATTAGGTATATTTTTCGAATAAAGATCCAAATGACTCGAATTAAAAAAATCATCTTACTGCTGATATTGTTGGTCGCATTGTCGTAAATGTAAACAATTGCGGTTGCCCCTAATGTTTATCGTATATTCAGTATCACGATGCAAAATTACGGCCCGATGCACCTTCACTTTATACGGAGATCGTAATAATCCGTGCACCTGGACTTTTCCACGCGAGATATAATATATGTATCTTTACTCGCGACTAGCCAAGGTTGGTCGAAATGCGATCGATCAACCCTCTGCTAACAATTTTCTCTCTCACTTTTCTAGTTCCATCATTTGCGGCAAATAGCCATCTGTCTTCGTAATACAGAATATAGCATTTTTATAGGCTTGAATAAAAAGGGCATGTATAAACGTCTGAACGAGAGAATATTAAATCCAACTATAATAAATAATGATTATTACACGTCACGTTAATTGTACGCAATTTATTTTTTTTTTATTAACGAGATGAAAGACGGGAAATGAATGATTTTAAAAAAATGAAAATCCAGAACACAAAGTTTTTTTTTTGAATTTTATGATAATAATCATCATTAGTCTTCCAATTATATGCAAATAAACCACTAATCGTGACAGATTCCCAAATATCTTTAATCAGTTGCAAGTCAAAATTGTTCTCGCAAATTATATCGACAAATATTTTCCGAAATTGCGAATTAAGAGTACAGTAGAGGAATAAATAAACGGAGATAAAAGTAATTCAGTCAGCCAACGATAAGCTGAAACTTGTGAATTAGAGATACGGTATATTTCCTCGGAACCTTTTGTCGCTCGCTAAAACCTCCATCGCAATACGGTCACTTTTCACGCGATAATCGATCGCGCCTCTTGTATAATTCCACCAACATGTGGAGAGAAACCGGGGCGAGACAAGGGGGAGAGAGAGAGGATAGAGAGAGAAGAGAAAGACGAAGAGGATAAAGGGTTAGCTAAAAGGAAGCGAGAGTTAGAAGGATTAGAGTTTAATTCGGTATTAACTCAACGCATGCATAACAGACGATGCGTATACACGAGAGAACGAGGGACAGAAAGAGGGAGGAAATGCAACGACTTGATTCAAGCGCAAAACGCGATAGAAACTGCTCGTCCGAAAATTCATGAAGAGATTAAACCCGGCCAGCCAACGTCAACATTATCGAAGCGTATATGAGCGAGTAACGAAACAGTTTGTAGAAGAGAATGAACAATGGTAGAAAATAATAATAATTCGAGGATGAATCTACGATCGGGTTGACTGACCGAGTAAGTTGGTAAAAGAAGCTAAAAACATATATCTATTTTTTATTTGTACTATTATTCATTAATTATATGCATTTATCAGATAATTATTATGATTTAAAAAAATAATATTTTCTGTTTAATTATATCGCCATGATGCACGATATATTTTATATTTACTTTGGCATTTAATTTCTATAAGAAAAATATAATTTATGCCACCACCTTATGTTTATATCAAGACGAAATAAATATGCGTCATCGTTATATTAACAAATGGAGTTGAATGACTAATAAATCAATAAAAATAAAAGTGATTACATTAGTTCCCGTGGATAATGAAATTTTGAACCGAGCACTAAATCTATGTGACATATGCTCTAAATGTTTGCAGTGTCACAAAACGATGAGAATCGATTGAAGTGATTTACATTTGCGCCGTTGGAAACAATCCATATTATTGTAAAAGTCCAATTAAGTTGATATAAATATCATAAATATCATAAATTCTCGATATCGCGCATTGTCACGATTGATTTCGTCGAAATGACATAATTAATTAATATCATGAATCGCGCAAAAGCTAAAACTGTCAAATGCGAATCCAAAAATTCAAATAATACGCCCTAATTTTCAAATATCCCCATCCCCTTTCCCCTCTTTACGTCATCGCTTCCTCTCGTGATGAAAAAAATTCCAAAGTTCCGCATCGAGTGCTTCAATTTTCTTCACGAGGATCCTAATAAAAAAACGTGAGAGGAGATCGAGGAGACAAACGAGAGGGACACGAGAACGGCCGGATGCTCGTCAGGTGCCGGTCCTCCAGCCATTCGACCGACGCCCCGAACATAATCCCTTTGTCCGTTCACAACCAGGACGATGAAACGTGTCGAGGATGCGTTATCGGGTCTAGTTCGATATGCTCGCGATCGAACGACGCATCGAGAAAAAAAATAAAGACGTTTAAATCGAAATTTAGCCAATGTCATACGCGATTCATTCCCTTTCTCTCTCTCTCTCTCTCTCTCTTTCATATCGCGAAAAATACATTTGTAACGTTTTGTTACTATAACCATTCATTTTAGCTTTTTATTCTATTAACATTATATTTCCTTTATTTATTGAAATTCATAAGACTTATTAACAATTATTAAATTTTCTTGGCACGAATTAATTAGACTAATATTGTATCGATCGACAATAGGCAATCGATCTCTAATTCGAGTATTTTTAAAAGAAAAAAAATTTCGGAAGAAACTATCCGATAAAATTCGTCTTGTTGCTAATTTAATTAAAGTTTGAAAATTTCTACCATTGATGGAACATCTATCCGATCGAATCGATACTTAGTTTCGGTCGCAACGAATAAAAGTCTTGCAAACAAGTTGCGGATTGCAATGACTAAATAATAAAGGAGAATAGAGGAGATAAATCTTGAATGATTTTTTTTCCAAAAATTGAGCAAAAGTTATTAAAAAAAGATACTTTCATTAAAACATAATATTTTAATATTTTAATTGATGAGTTAAATAGACCGTCGTTAAATATCTAATTCCGCAAAGTATTGTATAAATCACAAACTTTTTAAAAACGAATAAGAATTGCTTGCAATTTTCCATTTTTGTATGAATTAAAGAGAAAGGATATGACTACCATGTGGATGCAAACCATTTAAAAATATTAGAAAGAATATTGGGTTTTTGCTACTGTGACGTTCAGCCGTTCGAATAATCGAATAGTAAGAGTCAATTACTGTTTCAATTAATCTTCGGCGGCGAGACAATGCCGCAAAATGTCATCGCGCCGTTCGATCAGATCCTTTCGCCAGAAACTATCGGGAGGACAAATTGCGGGAGCAGTTTTAAAATCTATCGACGAAATGATATGCGTCAGTTGGCTGAAAAAATCCTCGATCGAATGTGCATTTCTCGAAGAACTCTTTTTCCCAAAATAAAAAAATAAAAAAAGAAAGATGACATCGCGGAAGCCTCTAAAGATGCTGCTCAAGAAACGGGCGCCGTCTCTCCCTTCCCTCTCTCTCTCTCTCTCTTTCCCAGGAAAACTTTGCAAATTGCAAGGGATGTAAAATCAATTTTTCAAATAGGCAACCGACGACTCTGGACTCGAAACTCGCGCTCGATGAGAGAAACGATTTCTTTCGCCCATCTCCTTTTCTTTCTCTCTCTCGATCTTTTCCGTGGCTCGCTTCTCGTCGCGTGCTGCATTTCGCGTGTTCGGACGCGCTTTAAATTGGGCGCCTTTTAAAACGTGAGAATTATTCAACGCTCCGCCGCTCCACGTTACGCCTCTGCCGTTTGTTATTTCGCTTCTCTCTCTCTCTCTCTCTCTCTTTCTTTCTTTCTCTCTCACGTGTTACGTGACTCGAGTTACGAGCGCATGCCGAGAAAAATGTCGCGCCGTCGACAGTACGTTATGATTATCCATAAGGTATTAACTCGTTTTGTTACTCGATCTTTCGTATGTTTAGTCGGACGTGTACTTTTTATATTTTATACTCTCGCGTAAAATATATTATTGTCTGTACAATGTTTTAAATTTCTTGTTAAAACGGTAAAAATAATATTTTTTTCGTAAAAGCATTTATCAATTCAGATCATTGCTGCCCATTTTAATTCCGCGATT